GGTTCTTGATGTTCTGGGCCGTGATCACTATCTCATTTAATCCTTGCAACCATCCCATGACATCAGCACTGCCATCTCACAGGTGTAGAAACTGGGTTCCAACAGCTTGTACAATGGGGCTAAATCAAACCCAGGCAGCTGGGCCCCAAAGTCTTGGTCTTACCATACCCACTCCACTTTTTGCTTTCCCCACTCAGCCCTGACCCAGGTGAATGAGACCTGGCTGGGGCAGTTGGGCTCCTCTCTCTGGCCTTGCTTTCCTGGGACAGAATTCAGGGGTGACTCAACCCTTCCCAGACTTCACTTCCAGATGACGCTGAAAGGGGAGGAGTCCCAGGAGGAGTCCCTGGGGTCACCTTGAAGAGGATGCTGAAGTCAACATGGAGAAATGGGGAATCCCATGGGAGCACTCAGAGCTAGACTCAGGCCATAGACAGAAAAGGAAAAGGACTCCCAGAAACCCTCCAAGAAGGCAGGGCAAAGGGCTGAAGAATGTTCTTTCTATGAAACTTCCCATTGTCTTTTACCCTCTGCTTCTCTGATATGCCTGAAGAATAAACATGGCACCAGACTGGGCTTAGGCAGGAAGATCACAAGTTCAGGGCATACCTGAACTCAAAAACAAGAGACACTGATAACAACAGTCAATACCAGTAATGTATATCCCACATGTGGGTTGGGAATCTGAACATGGAATGTCTCACTGGCTCACAGCCCTGTGAGGCAGGAACCATGATGGCAGTTTATACACGCAGAGCCTGAGGCCTTGCAGCCAGCAAGAGCATCTGAATCACTTGCCCAGAGACACACTGTAAGGTGCAAACATGAAGACAGACTGCAACTCCAGAGTTCACTGTGACAGGCAGGGGTTGAACCTGAGCTGCATGGGCAGAGCTTGGGCAAACAGCGTGGACCTCAAACGCAAGAAGGGCCCTGATGGATGAACTGACACTGTAGTGACACTGAGCTGGCCTTCCCCAAAGCAACTCAGGGTCTCCACTTTTCAACTCTAGGTTTGAAGGGTGAGAAATGGCAGGAGAATACAGAGGCAATGAAGTCAGCCAGACTTGGGGAGACTGCTTCAGTGAGAGACAATCCTGAGAACTACGCCAAGATGGGTTAGATCTCCCTGTGCCCAGGAAAGTCCCCCAGGACCTAGTCATGCCTACACACACACACACACACACACAGGAGAGGCAGAGGAGAGCCAAGTGCAGAGGTGCATGGGGGACCAGCTGACACATTCCCACATCACAGAGCTGTTGGCCTCTCCAGACAATATCCTCACATGAAGAAATGTCTTTGTCACCAAAATGTCCACGATGTCCCTAGTCAGCTCTCCCTTTCCTCTGAAGGTGAACTAGGTGAAAAGAAGCAGAGGGGTGAGGCTATTTACTGGAGACATGCCCCTGTTGGTGTTACACATGCATGCTCAGCTGCCCAGGGTTCCCCTTCTCTGCAAGTCCCTGAAGAGGGGGGGAAGCCACATAGACTCACCAGAAAGTAGAGGGGAAGAAAAAAAATCAATAGGATTGATCAGAAACTATATTGGATCCTGGCTGTAGTGCTAACACAGTCCTTTCAACAAAGCATGGGTGGCCACTGCTCCCTGGGGACAGAGGCAAGGCCAGAGGATGAGAGGTTTAAGCTGAGATGCAAAGAGCCCATGCCAGATGAGAAGGCTTGTAGGGGAAGTCAGGCCTGTCCATTTTTGTATTCTCAAGGCAAAAACAGCCAGGAGGAAGGAAGGCTTGCCTGAACACTGGGCCAGGTGCCTCCTAAGTGTGGAAGAAGTTTTTGCCCTGATATCCTTGGGTGACTACCTTGTCCCCAGTCTCAGGTGTACACTGGAGGTGTCCCTGAACTCACACAATCCTGATCACCTCTCTGTGGCTGCCTCTGAGTCCTGGGGATGAGGCAAGGCACAGCCCCAGAAGCCCAGCATCTCCTGAGAGACAGAGTGGGGAAGTACATAACAGGATGCCAGACTATAAGAGAAAAGTATACTAGTATAAGGACAGAGATGGGACCCCAATGAGAGGGCTGAGAAGTGAGGGGGCAGGTCTCAGGGATGTGTGGGTGGAGAGCCTCGTAGGCTTTTAGATGAAATGTGCTTGGCCTGACCAAGGCACCATGCCTGGTATAGCACAGTACACAAGATGATACAGCCTGAGATTGTGGGGGCTGGGGGTGTCTCATGAGCAGAACCATCCCAGGCCTCTGGCTGATCCAAGGACCTGGGTTCTAAGTGACATGAAGCATTGAGCAACAGAGTGGCATTTTAGACTGGTGAACAGAAAATGACCATGGGGTCAGACTCAGAGGCTAAGGTGCTATAAGAACAGAGGCCGTGCAGCCTCAGTCATGGCTGGTCCAAAAGAACCTTGCTCTTCCCTCAAACTGCCTTCCAGAAAGTACTAGGATAGAGAAACAGCGAGATCAGAGGATCCACAGACCAGGGGCCCTGCACCCAGCACAGAGGCCAGGACTTGGACGACAGAACCAAAGCTGAGGATTCCAGGTGCTCATTTGACATCTGCTGTAATTCTGGTACAGTGGATGACAGGCTGTGAATCCAAGTGGGTATCACCAGACCCTGGTGGCTGGACCCAGCCCTGAGAAGACAGGAGATTCTGACGTGCCCTGCATCCCACTGCCCCTCCCCCAGCAAGGCAGCTCCTGATGCAGAGAGGCAGCCCATCCTCCTGCCCTTCGTGGTCACATAAATCACCCTCCCAATAATATTTGTATTGATCATCTAGATTGGAAGCCTCAGTGGGCTCCATTGTCTCACTTCCTCTCCCAGGGCTCACAGATGGGGTCTCCCAGCCTCATCTGCGTTTCTAATGGGACATTCAAATGGAACAGCGACAGCCCACAGGCCCCATGCTGCCCTGGGTGTTGGGGGGCAGGGGGAGTTAGAAGATGATGTAAACATGTTTCTTGGGAGAGAGGATGAAGGCCAAGAAGAGCAGCAAGCCAGGTCAGTTCGAGAATGAAAGCAGGCTTCCATCAACGCCACCTGGGTGCTGGTCAGAGTGGCAGCAGCTCAAACCACACCCTGACCCACAAATCAGCCAGGACATCTTGACTAGACCCCTCCCTTAGAAAGCCATGAGCATGTTAAAGGCACTGTACAGATAAGAACCAGGGACAGAGAAGGCAAAGTGCTAGGTGGAGGTCACAGAGTGGCCCAGTTGAGGCAGAGAATGTCAGAAGGCCAGCGGCCTCTGCGGAGTGTGTGGGCCACTTTGGGCTCCTCTCCCTCCCCAGCCTCTGCCTCCCTTCCCAGGGTGTGGACAGATGGCTCAACCAGAGTC